CTCTCGCACTCGCGGTGCGTCTGCGTGGCGGCGCGCGAGAGAGACAGAGCGGCAGACGGCTGATTCTGCCTGCAGCGCGTTCCGTCGCTCTGTCTCTGTCGCACCCATGCGGGACGCGCCGAGGGAGACAGCACCGAAAGCGCTCTGCAGACGACAGTCGTAAAGCACTCCGCTGTAAGACTCTTTACGTAACCGGTATGTGTTTACGCCGCGAGCTCGCCAGTCGGCGCCTCAGTGCGGTTTCCCTTACCTTGTCACTTTTTCAATTTTTCGCGATGGCTATCGCTACGCGATCTGCTCGGGCCGCGCGGGCTTGACCGCTGCGCTAGTATGATGTCCAAGCAGAAATAACGGGTGTGCACCCGTCACCAGTCGACCCATCCCTCAGTGGACTTACCCAACCCATTTTTCTACTCGAGAGAAAAATCGATAGAAATGTTGAGTCAACATTCTATTTAGGAAAGCCTACTTTTTTCCTGTTTGAGTCGACCTCCGCCTTAGTCGACCGTTCCCAACACACTGAGAAAACCTTACAAACTATTTTGGGCCTTACAAAGAAAAGTAGTTTGTATACTAACAAAGTATTTTGAGCATACGTAGGCCTACAAAGAAAATACTTCGTAATTTACGAACTATTTCTTTGTATAACAAAGTATTTTAGTTTGTTATATGTATGCTCAAAATACTTCGTGCGGTTTTAAGAGTGCAGAAATATTGAAATGAAGTTTTGGCCAGAATACGCACTATGCCGCGCGCAGGTCGCAGAGAGAGACGTGGCGGGTTGTCGGCCGGCCATCTCGAGCCCCTGCGAACCGCGGGATAGGCCGTCCCGCCGCGCACAGGTGTGTCGCAGGACGGTCCTGGCCTACCTTCCAGGGGCTCGGCCGCAGGGTCTTCTTTCCGAGGATGCGGTCGATGCAGTCCTTGGATTTGACGGCGTTTCCCGACGTGGAATTTTCGGGATTCCTTTGCCTTCCCGCGTGCCAGAGTGACAGCGGAGCCAGGCGGGCCCGGCGGCCAAGGCCCCGGCCGGGGCAGCAGACTCATTCCGAGAGTCGTTTCCGTCGCTCTGTCTCTCTCGCTCTCATGGGGTGTCCCGTGGAGGTGCGAGAGAGAGAGACGGAGCGATGAAAGCGACTCTCGGAATCAGTCTGCAGCCGAATTCTCTCCGCGACGCAGCGCTAGAATGGCCAGAAGCAGCGGGTCTCCAAGGCGCATCACCTTGCGGTGTACTCGTTGACTGATTCCAAGAGTCAATTTCGTCGCTCTGTCTCTCTCGCACCTCCACACGACGCCCCATGAGTGCGAGAGAGGCAGAACGACGGAGAGGATTCTCGTAATCGGTCTGCTCGTTGGCACTACTCGGGGGCCGTACCGAAACGCCGTGCACGGCCCATGGGTCCTCCAAGAGCAACCTAGTGCAGAGTCGAAGACTGCGTTGCAGAGTCGAAGACTGCGTTGCAGAGTCGAAGACTGCGTTGCAGAGTTGAAGACTGCGTTGCAGAGTCTGAAGACTGCGTTGCAGAGTCGAAGACTGCGTTGCAGAGTCGAAGACTGCGTTGCAGAGTCTGAAGACTGCGTTGCAGAGTTGAAGACTGCGTTGCAGAGTCCGAAGACTGCGTTGCAGAGTTGAAGACTGCGAGGTCCGCCACGACGGGGCGTCCCCTGACCGCGCTAGAGTCCCAGACTGCGTAGGCCTTCGCCATGCCTTCGCCATGCCTTCGCCGAGACATACTGCGTCCGCCACTCGTCGCGACAGCGTCGATAGATCAGCAGGCCGATCCCGAACGTCGTCCCTCTGTCTCTCTCGCACTCGCGTGGCGTCCCGTCGGCGTGCGAGAGAGACAGCGCGATGCGAATCGGCCTGCAGCGGCCATGCAGCCATTCATCATCGACGCGTACCGTTTACGGCGTTAAATGCACGGCGGGGCGCCGCGTCGCCTCGGCGCCTCTTTGCGAATGGAACTAATCAACACTTTTCCGTCTCCTCGCTGCGAACGGCGCGCCGCGAGCCGCGAGCCGTAACGGAAGGTTATTAATAGCAATCGGCTCGCCATATTGGTACCATTCCCGGCGGACTCCAGGCGGATTCCAGGTAGACACCAGGCGGACTCCAGGCGGATTCCAGGTGGACACCAGGCGGACTCCAGGCGGACTCCAGGCGGACTCCAGGCGGACTCCAGGCGGACTCCAGGCGGACTCCAGGCGGACTCCAGGCGGACTCCAGGCGGACTCCAGGCGGACTCCAGGCGGACTCCAGGCGGACTCCAGGCGGACTCCAGGCGGACTCCAGGCGGACTCCAGGCGGACTCCAGGCGGACTCCAGGTGGACTGTTGGTAGATTGCTAGGAGGACTCTAGGCGGACTTCAAAGACTCGAGGCGGTCTCCAGGCGGACTGCTTGGAGTACTCCAGGAGTACTGCCAGGCACCCCAGCCTCGGCCCCCTGCACTGGAAGTGCTGGAAGCACCGGAAGGGGAGCGAGCAATCGGTGGGTGATGAATCGGCAGCCTCGTTAGATGAGGCGGAATCTATTACTCGCAGCGCCGGGTTACTCTACCTCAAGCGGAATAAATAGTTTTCTGGCCTTTTCTGCCGCTGGGTTCCCAGTGGACGCAAGCGGACGCGCGCCCCCTTCATGGCGGGCACGTGCACTCCGGAGTGCGTCGTCGTCCGCGTCGCGTGGGCGGCGAGGCGGCGAGGCGGCGAGGGCGGCGCTGAGGGGGTCGTTGGAGGCGGCCCGGCGCGGCCGGAGGACCCCCGGCCCACAGCCCAGGACTCCAGCAGACTCATTCCGAGAGTCGTTCTCGTCGCCCTGCCTCCCTCGCACTCATGGGGCGTCCCGTATAGGAGCGAGAGAGGCAGGGCGACGAAAACGACTCTCGGTCTGCAGGCGCCAAGGGTGATGCTGGGTGGACGTGCTCGCCGCCCCGGCGCCGCGCCGACGCCCACGCACAGTGGGCCAGAAGACCGGTGGAGGCGGCCAAAACCCTAGACGCGTTTTGAGCTCCAGAATCGTTAAACAGGCCTCGAACCGAACGTGTGACCCCACCAATGGATTACTCGTTCGGAGAGCAATCCGTTGGTGGGGTCACACGTTCGGTTCGAGTCCCATTTAGCGACTCTGGAGCTCAAAATGCGTCTAGAGTTTTGTGCGCCTCCACCGGTCTTCTGGCCCACTGTGCACAGGGTGTGCGGGGTGTGCTGGGCCGTGGCATCCAGGGCCTGGCATCCAGGGCCTGGCGTGGGTGGCGGCGCGGCTCGCCCTCCGTCTCCGTCATCCCCGAGCCTCGTCTGCGCCCAACGGCCGAACGGCCCCGCCATTGTCGCTCTGTCTCTCTCGCTCCCCCGCGGCATCCCAGCACGCCCCGTGAGTGCGACAGAGACGGCGGCGCAACGACTGCGGCGCGTTTTCCTCGTTGGCCGTCATTCCCCACCCACACTGCTGCACTACTTTGTGTCGAGGAAACGTCAATCGCGGCATCGCCGCAGCAGCCTCGCTCCGTCGCGCCGTCTCTCTCGCACTCATACGGGGCCGCCCACGAGTGCGAGAGAGACAGAGCGACGGAAACGACTCTCGGAGTCAGTCTGCTGGGAGAATGGTCGAGGCTCCTTCCCTTGCGCGCGCAGGCCACAGGCACCACAGGCCGCAGACAGCGAGCCCCTCCCCCTCCCCCAACTCCCCTCTGGCTCTAGGACGTGCATTTCAAGTGCGAACTGCGAACAGTCCACCATTGGCGCCAGTGTTGCCACATAAGTTGCCAAAAATTCTCATGATGCATTAGCAGTGTCGATAGTGTTGCCTACTTCAGCCTGCCTACTAGGCAACATCGACTGCGCTTGCCTAGTCGGCCCTCTGGGGTTCGGCACTGGGATCTCTGATGGGCAGCACCCATAGCGCCGGCAGGGGCACCACAAGCACGGCTGGCGCGTCCAATGGGCTGCCTACCTCACACGGCGCTCTAGTCCCTTGCCTTGAGAGGCCACCCAAGTTTTCTGCTATTGAGCTGTATTTTTAGCAGATGATACCTTTACTTAAAAACATACCTTAAACTAACTACAAGACATATAAAGGTGTCAGCTAGCTTTTACTCGAGAGTCCAAAAACCTAGTGCATATCCTAACAATATAATGGGGGCTGGCTGCCGGGGCGGGATGGTGCGTCTGTCTGGCTGTGCCTGCCTGCGCCGCAGCCTGCGCGGAATTCGACAATGGCACCCCCTTCTGGTGCGCGACATTGACAATCCCTCCCCGCTACAGCGCAGATGCACCGCGTGCTCGCAATCCAACGGGCACGGCGCGGTGGTGGTGCAGGCCACGGCACAAAGGACTCAGTTTTTAGCAGATGATACCTTTGCTTTAAAACATACACCTAAAACTATTAAATACTATCTTTGGAATGAGCCCATACTGTCCCGTAGAAGAAAACCAAACGAGTATCATCTGCTTTCATTGACGTTCGTTGAATGAGATTTTTTGGATTCGGCTGCACATTCTTTACGTCGCGTTTGATGAGGCAAAGGCGAAACTTCTCAAGTAAAGACGTAAAGACCTGAATTTTACTGCGACGGAAATCCCCCTCAGGATTATGAAGATCCGGTGGTAATTTGAACTACGCGTGGAAACCTTCGTCCGGCACCAACCCCGATGATGCAGCGGATGTAGAAGGTACCGGGCTGTGGTGAGGATACGCAACGCTCCGAGACTCCTCGACGTGGAGCAGCGCAGTCGGGACTACTCCCGGCACCAGAGACTCTACGGCCGCGACGAACATGGCGCCCAAGAAGGGAACTACTCCGCGACTACAGCCTCTCTTGCCAACGTCCAGACCTCGTCCGTGGCTGTTTCATGCGAAGATTCCACTCCCAGCAGATTGGAACTGCCAAGAAAGGTGGTGGTTCTGATCGCCCTTCCTGAAATCTGTTGAGGTTTCCCATTGTCCTGCATTTGGTGCAGTTTTATTTGGGAGGCACATCAGGGCGAGCCCGTTGGTAGCCATGCCCACGATTATGAATGACTCTCTTCGACTTTGCGCGTAGTAACGTAGTAGCTATCGTAAATCAAACTTTATAGTTGAATATTCTGCTCTTTCATCTATGGAAACGGGTGCTGTCTGCACTTCTTGACACTTTGAAATTCAACGTTGGGAGGCTCGGCTCGTCGTGACGCCGGAAGTCATCGAGATCACCGAAGAGAACCTGAGCTTCCGGTATAAAAAAAGTGCGGATTTTTGTTACAGATACAAGGAAACTATATGTTGTTTACTTGTGTTCAAATAGTGAACAAATATCTTGTTGGTCTGTCTAGTTTGTGCTGGTAATTAGCAACTCTCCTTTGTTGGTCTTCATTCATCATGTAAGATATCTTTCAAGATCATAGCATGTGTTGGCACGAAAGTTTGTCTGGAAATTTGTGCTTTATGTTTAAAATTATTTTTCGTTGCTGTCCAGCGAACAAACCACGCCTTGTCAATCAAAGTTAGTTTTCGTCGATGTCTTTGGATAAGTTGCTTGTGTTTTCTCCCGAACTATGTGAATTTTATTCGATAAACATAACCTTCGCTTTGAAAATGTCAGTTGTTTTATTTACTTTTTCTACTTTTTTGGTCGCACGGGCTTACTGATTTAACTGCAAGCCTCTATAAGGACATATGTGTCATTTTTAAAATGCGAAAGTCGTAAGCAATTGCTCTCCAGGGCTGAAGGTTGTGGCTTTCGGCGGCGGAAAGAAAGGTGTGAAGAATGTTGAGAGGTTATGTTAGTGATGCGTGCGTACCTTGTAAACAATCGTCCAATTTTATTATCAAAATTCTTGTGTGTCACTTGATATGTTTTCAAGCCATTATTTATTTCTTGTTTTCATCTATTGTTATTTTAATTAGTATCGAGATGATCTTAGTTCTTAGGCTTACATTAAATTTTGTGTGCAGATTACTCTAAACGCCTTCAGACAGCATAATTTACAAGTTTGGTGTATTCAATTATCCTTAATTGTTTTTCAAAGCCATTCGCTGTAATAATTGTAGCTCAATTTTCCATGCCTTTGTGTACAGTTTGAATGACTTGAAAATGATGCATATTTTTCATTAACTGATGCATATTTTACCATCGTTCCTGAACAAAAGATGAAGGACATAAAAGTATTTCACTATTACATCATGATGAAAATTATTGACTAGATACTCGTAGTATAATAATGTTGTTTTTTCTTTGCTTCTAATCTTAAGTTTACATTATCTTTTTGTTCTCAGTGCTGCTGAGATCAGCAATTTTTGAGATGACCGGGAAGCAGAGCTGAATGCCGAACTGAGCACAGGATGGGTATAGAATGTGGCACGAAGACACTGTGAAAGATGAGCCTAGCTCAAGCTCACAGCAGTCAACTCCAAACAGGTAATTGGCCTATTGAAATGATTATATAGGTGTGTGTAAGCTCTTTACTCGGGACAAATCATCAATGTGAAACCATTGTGTTTCGGTTTATTTTCCAACGCAGTATTTTTGTCCAGTTAGAGCATTAAAGTCAAAATAATGATTTGATGATGCCAATGTGATGAATTCTAACTGCTTTGACTTTTGTTTCACCAACCATAACACAGTGGCTCACTGACTTTTATCTGTTTAGGACTGAAATCCAGCCCAGAGTGGGTTCCACCAGCGGATCTGGCAGTGATGGAGATGGATATGAGGGGGCATGGGATTGTGGGCTGTTCCAAGCTATCCAGCCCTATACTCCAACTGCCCCCGGGGAACTGGCATTGCTTCAAGATGATACTGTCAAGCTCCTGAAATTTGGCCCACAAGGTTGGGCAAAGGTGTTCAATACAAGAGCGCATGATTCAGGATATGTTCCTGGTGAGTTCCTCATTCATAAATGATGTCCAGACTGTCTGTGTTTTTCTTTGATTTATAATTGTAAATTATAATTTTGTTTCAGTGAAAAATCTCAAACGTCTTCCTGGTGCTGATGGAGCGACTCCACAATGGAGGAACCCATTACCTCCTCCAGATATAGTGCCACATAACGGACCAGGTAATTATTTTTTTTAAGGAAGTTTTAAAATATATAAATTTTTGTTCATACTTATAACTTGTATCCTCTCTCTCTATTTCAGACTATGTGCAGTACTCCCCTCAAGTGCCACCTAAAAGCAGTGTGTCTTCTGCTCTGTTACCCACTGGATCTTTGGAACCCCAGTATGTTGAGCTGGTTCGTTCAGAGAGAGATGAAACTGGTCAAGGTATGGTTAAAAAAATGCTCTTGTCAGTATCTTTTAATAAGATTGGGAGTTTTAAATTTTATTTCGCCCTATCCCTGTCTTGATTTTGATTGAATCTATTAGATTATGGAAATACATTCTGTTTTTCTCTCTCTTTAGGAGATGGCTCATCCCGACAAGTTTATACTCATAGACTGGTTGACGTTTACTTCCTAACACCCGTCCTCTGCAACCAATGTGAGTGATGCTTTATTTGTATTTTTTGGAGAGAAGGGTGACATTATAAAGACAACTGGTCTATAGGGACTCTCTGTCAAACGTAGATTTTCCAAGGTATCTCAGGGGTTTGTTTTAGGCTAAAAAATGCGCAATTGAGATCCACCAAAGTTCTGCTTACATAATAACTGCCTGTTTTTGCGGCTAGTTTATAATGATTTTTTTTTTGTTATGAATGCAACATCCATTTGAGTATGCACTGGGCAAAGTCCCATCCAATGGTGAGATAGCCGTTTGCTGAGTCTGAGTGGCGGCTGCCATCCTGAAGGTCTTCTCGACGGATGCTGCCGCGGCGTGCTATCTCTGGTCGAACCGTTTGTGTCACTTTTGCCACCCGCCTGCGAGTGACGTGTGTGACGCGGGCGTGACATGGTGTCACGCCGTGTGACGTGTCGTGAGGCTGGCGTGATAGCCCGCCCGATGGCACCGCGACCTCGGCCAATGTCCGGTGTGACGAAGAGGTTGGGACAATGGGAAAAGGGGGGAAAGGGGGGGGGGCGATCGCACTGCAGTCGCGGCCTGATAACGATGATTGATTGGCCAGTGTAGAGGAGTGAGTGTGGAATTTCCCTGCAGGAAGTGCTCTAGACCTGACCTGGGACACTTTCTGGCCAATCTGGGGTCCACCATCCACACTGCAAGAAGAGGGGGTAGTGTTAGCCTGTTGCAAGAAGACGGGGTGGTGTTAGAGGTTGGTGGTCTGCAGATAATTCAGTGCAAGTAATCACAGGGCCTTGTTGTGCAATATCTGTGTAAGTAGTTGGAAGAATGTGATTATGAGCAGTGCTACACTGGTAACCATGAAGGCAGAGACGATGGGGGGACTTGAAAACGAGCAAGCAGCATGTAAGTACCAAAACCAGTGGCGGATCCAGAGTCGGCCCAGAGGGGTGGGCGGCAAAGTAGGACTTTTTGCCTATTTACAGGGGCAAAGTAGCACTTTTTTCGTACCTTTCAGGCGGCTATCCCCCCCTTTCTCTGTATCCGAGCCTGACCAATACGAGGCATCAGTGATGCCGCATCACCATACTTCCTTGCGATTTTTGCCTCTCGGTACTTTCAGGATTTTGTCTTCCGCCCGTTCTCTCTCTCTCTCTTCTCTCCGAGGGCGGCGCGGGGTGGCGCAGTCATTCCTGGCGGTCGGAAGTTTTTCGATTTCCGGGGCAAGAAAAAGGGGAGGGGGAGGGGGGAGGAAGAGAGAAGGAGAGAGAGAAATTTAAGGTCAACAGATCGGGAGGAAGTCTTAGTATTTATGTTGGCAATGGCAATCTCGGGCCTGGCCGCGGCTACCACCGCCTGGCCCGCCTGGCCCGCCTGGCGGCCCTCGCCGACTCCGCGCGCTCCGCCAAGCGCTCCGCGCCCCGTCTCGCGTCTCTCTCTGGCGGGGCTTCTTTCGCGCGGTTCGGAAAGCCGAGCTTGGCCTGGCTTGGCCGAGCTTCCTCAACCCCGGCGGTGTAATTGTGGACAGAGAAGCGTTCCGTCTCCCTCGCACTCGCGGGGCGCTCCGTTCGGGTGCGAGAGAGACGGCGCGACGGCACTCGGCACACAGTGGGCCAGAAGACCGGCGGAGGCGGCCAAAACTCTAGACGCGTTTTGAGCTCCAGAGTCGCTAAATGGGACTCGAACCGAACGTGTGACCCCACCAATGGATTGCTCTCCGAACGAGGAATCCAGTGGTGGGGTCACACGTTCGGTTCGAGGCCTGTTTAACGACTCTGGAGCTCAAAACGCGTCTAGAGTTTTGGCCGCCTCCACCGGTCTTCTGGCCCACCGTGCGGCAGGCTTGCTCAGCCTGCTGATGGCGACGGAGGGCTGCAGGAGGCTTGCGGGAGGGGCGCGGCTTCTAGAAATATGAACGAGAACGAGTTCCAAGCCGGCCGGCTCTGATGGAGGGAGTGAGACAGAGACACCGTCGACTGGTTTGGGGCGCAAGCCGCGCAAGCCGGCTACCCTTTCTGGTGGCGCCTCGGCCTGTTTGCGAGGAGTGGATGGATGCCTGCGCGGCGGGCGCGTCAAAACCGTCGCACAAATTTCCCATTCATGACGAAATGAAGTTTTTATTTTTTGGTGGGTTGGTGTTGACGGTGAATTTCTACACGTCGTGCATATGAGAGTCAACCGTGCGTGCGTGCGTGCAGCCGAGCCCAGACTGCCGGGGTTGTTTTTCAAGTCGGGCACGGCCGCCTGCTATTTTTTATTCTCCCTCTCCGAGTCAAGTTGGGAAACGGAATGGCGAGCCGGCGCGCGACCGCCCCTGAGCCGAGTTCTAAAAGGCGGTGGGGAAATCAAGTTTGAAAACTGTCGAACATAGACGTTGTGTGGCAAGTTTTCCCCGCGATAAGTCGATCGCCCTTGAATATTCTTCCCAGGGGGCCAGGGCGGCCCGGGCAGGGCCGGTGGGCCGGGGAAATTGAGATTTAAAGGACGTTCGAAAGCAAAGTTGGGCCGTCAGCGCGGCGGGCACGGCGGCGCCCCATCGGCCATCGCACGGCGACTCCCCCAGGGCCGCAGGACCCCGCCTCTATTTTGCCAGAGAAGAATAAAATGATTTTATCGCGCGCTGTCGTTGAGGCGGAGACGTCCCGACGTCCCGACGTGTGCAGCAGTAGCACTTGTCAGTGCAGGGCCCCGCGGCACGGCGCGGCACGACTTTCCACCGACTTTGAAACATTCCCGCCGGGCGGGCGGGCGGTGCTGCCGGGCGGTGCACGGTGGGCCAGAAGACCGGTGGAGGCGCCCAAAATTCTAGACGCGTTTTGAGCTCCAGAGTCGCTAAATGGGACTCGAACCGAACGTATGGCGCCAACGCACAGTGGGTCAGAAGACCCGTGGAGGCGGTTGAAATCCCGGACGCGTTTTGAGAGACGCTAAATGGGACTCGAACCGAACGTGTGACCCCACCAATGGATTGCTCTCCGAACGAGGAATCCATTGCTGGGGTCACACGTTCGGTTCGAGTCCCATTTAGCGACTCTGGAGCTCAAAACGCGTCTAGAGTTTTGACCGCCTCCGCCGGTCTTCTGGCCCACTGTGCGGTGCTGCCTGGGCGGCCGACCTGGCCCGGCGTCGCCCGGCGGCGCAGGGACGCCGACGCCGTCGTTGGCTGGCATCGCGAAGTCGCAAAAGTGAAGCACTAACAATGAAACTAAACCAGTCTGAACCGCCCCTGAAATCGGCCACTTGGCTTCCTCGCCGGGGTGTGGCACGGCGCACGGCAAGGCACGGCAAGGCAGGCACGGCGTAACAGGGCAGGGCGGGTGCGACGGCGAAATGGTGCGCCATCGATCGGTTCGCGGTTTTTAAAGCCCTGGCGCGGGAGACGGAGGAGAGGAGGAAGGACGTCTAGATTCTAGGCTGTATAGGCGCGTGGGAGTGTCAGCGTGATGGAAACCTCGACAGCCCAACGTGTTTCCTTTCAAATTTGGCGTCGGATGCTGCGCTTCGCTCTGCGCGTGACGCGCGGGACGCTCGCCCCTTCCAATTCATCCACGAGTGACATTTCTTTTTTGTCCAGCCGCCACTTTTTGCATGGGGGGCCGCCTGCAGCAGGGGTGGGTGGATTAGCCGTGGAAGCCGGACTAGTCCGGACTAGTGCTCGGTCCTCTCCCTGCGGGGCACGGCCCGGCACGGCCCGGCACGCTGGGCATGGCATGAGGTAATGAGAGGGGCCCGCGTGCCGACGGCGTGCCGATTGTAGGGCCAGCAGGCTGATTCCGAGAGTCGTTCCGTCTCTCTCGCACTCGTGGGGCGTCCCGTGTAGGTGCGAGGGAGGCAGAGCGACGAAAACGACTCTCGGAATCAGTCTGCTGCGGGCCGTGGGGCGTAGGGCCGGCGCCTCACAGCAGCCTGGCCAGCCCGGCCGCCCTCTGCCGTGAAAAAGGGAAATGGAATCCCCCTTTCCTCCACCGGGCCCCTCGCCCTCGCCTCGGAGCGGCGGAGCGGCGCCCCAATTCAAAAGGACTCTGATCATTTGGCGCTGCCTTGGCCGGAACGCCCCGCCCCGCCCCGCCCCGCCCCGCCCCGCCCCGCCCCCCCCGCCCCGCCCCGCCCCGCCCCGCCCCGCCCGCCCGCCCCGCCGCTCTCTGGGGCGCCATGGGGGTGCCGCCCTGCAGGGGCCCTGCGGGGGTCCTGCGGGGGCCCTAGTGTGGGGCGCACGTCCGAACAGAATAGGGGCGGACCGTCGGAGCGACCGGGCGATGGACTGTGCGAGATGATATCTGGAGCTGCCGCGCCGGGCCGCGCCGGGCCGGGCTCCTTTCTCTGCTCCAGCCTTCAGCCCCTGCTCCTCGGGGCCTCCTCCGCGTCTCTCTCGCACCCCTGCGGCCCGGCGGGACGCCCCATGAGCGCGACGGAGACAGAGCGACGAATCGCCTCTTCGGAATCGGTCTGCTGACTGCCGTCCACGGCACGGACGGGGCACGACGGACTCCGTGCGTCGATGAGGTGGAGTGGCGCCCGGCGTGGCACGGCGTGGGCGTTCGTCTCCGGGCTTCCGTCTTTTTCGGCCTCTCTGCACTCACGGAGGGCGGGGGCGGCCGGGGCCCTTTCAACCAGAGCTTTGGCCCAAAGCTTTCGCCCACGACTTTACGCCTAGGGTTTTTCGCCTAGGACTTTTCGTCGGGCTTTCGCCGCTTGTCGGGGTGCATTTTGACCCGAGTGAGCCTCAGACGTGCAGGTTGGCTCGCGCCGAAAGTTGTCTCGACTGTTGCGGAGTTCTTTTATCGCACTCGAAAGGCTTTTGGCCTTCGAATCTGCGTGGTCAGCGCTTTTCTGCGTCTTTTTCTCCATCTGGAAAAAGGGGGTGGGGTGCATGCAAGTGACTTTGATCCGGGTCTTATCTGGCGCAGGGCGGCGCCTTTACGGCCGGCTCCTTGATGCTGGCTGGCTGGCTGGCTGGCTGGTGGCCTCATCACTTGATTCTGGACCAGTCGTAAAGACTGAAGGTGTCCCTCCCCGTCGCG